CGTCAGATCGTACGACAGGAATGTCAGCAGCGACAGCAGCGTGGCTTGACCCAGCGGGCAGGGCTCAGCGGCCAGCACGGCCGCGCCGCCTGCCGCGCTGCAGGCCCACAGCACCAGCGGCAGCTCCTGGCGTTCGAGGACGCGGGAGAAGGCGCCGTCTAGGTCACCGGAACGGAGGTGGCCTTGGGGTGAGGGAAGGAGCGAGGGAAAGGGTGGGCATGAGGAGGTCGTGGTTGGATGGAATGATAGGGATATAACATTCCGCACTAGGCTCGCGGTTAGGCGGAGGGAGGAGCACGTTATTAGGAGGAAAGTGGAGAGGGAGGCCGAAGGAGTGTGGCACGGAGGTGCAAGGGGGACAGCGGAAAGCCTACCACGTAGCATGGTGCAGGCGTTAATATGCTGCAAGGGGCAAAGTGTACAACAGGAGTACTAAACGAAAGGGAGCCATGAATCAATGTCAAGGTCATGAGCGTGCGTAAAACAGCTTCGTGTGTACCTAGGACGAGCGCCTGCAGGGCGAGGTCCACAGCAGCAGGCGATGGCGGAGGCGCTGCTGCCGCCGCTGGCGCCGCCGCAGCACTCACGGAGCCCGTGCTCGACGACACGGCGGAGGCAGCCGGCGCAGGCTGCGGCGGCCGAGGTGCAACAGCCGGCGCCGCAGGACTGATCGCCGTCGGGGCGGCGGCGACAGGTTGAGACTTACCAGCGGCCGCAGCAGCTTGCTGTACTGCTGCTGCTACAGGCTTGCTGGCGGGGGCCGCTGCAGCCGCCGCCGCATCCGGAACCGCCGCTGCAGCCGACTTGGATGCGCCGGCAGCGGCGCCCGCTGCTTGGAAGCTTGCCCTGGGGAATGACACGGGAACTTTAGGTGAGAGGTAGATGCAGGCATGCACCGTGGGGAACACGGAGAGGTAATCGGGTGAGTGGGGGCTCAGCTCGGCGTCATGCAGATGCGGGTATGCACCGGGGCGGAAGCATGTGACCTGGCTTTGCATGGCGCCAAACACGACAGGTGGAACTACGGCATGCGACAGATACGGTAGATCCACCTCACGGGAAACAACCGGAACGCTTTCCCTTGGTCCAGTCAAGAGCAATAAAATCTGTCGACAGCCCTACAGGCAGGCTTACCTGCACCTGGGATATCCGTCGTACCAGCTGAGCAGACGGCTGCGGCGGCATACTCGCAGGAGAGGACTGCGCCGGCAGCAGCGCCGCCACCGCCGCAACAGCCGCCAGCTTTGCACTGTCAGCCCCAGCAGCCTCCGCTGCCGCTCTCTCCTCTGTCCCCGCCACCACCGGATGTGCACGGCGATGAACAAGATAAGGCTTCTCTTGTGAACACGAATGCTGCCGAAGGCTGTGGCAGTGTACAAGCGTCTCCCCACCTGTTGCTCGCCCCCGCCAGCAGCGCCCCGCGGTCCAGCAGCGCATCCACCCCCAGCTACAGCGCCGAGTCCAGCAGCACCTGCCACACGGGCTGCTGCTGCTGCTGGGGGCGGCCTGCAGCAGGGCGCGGGAAGTTGCGAGCATGGGATGTCAGGACAGCAGAAGCTGCGTTTAATGACAGGGTGAGGGCGTGAAGTGCATGTATGCATGCGGCTTTCGTGGAGTTGATGCCGACGAGGCTGCTAAGCTGTTGTCTATCCCAGCCCAGTGCTGCTGCCAAACACTAACGTAGAGGCAACATCGCATTCAGGCACGCAAGAGGGCAGATGGATCTGCCGGTCATCGCGCATGCCCTTAGCCCCTGTACCCCTGTTCTCGTCCCAGCCCGCAAATACACGTATATGATCACCTCATCTTGGGTGGCTGCAACGTGGTGTAGCCCAGCGTGTGCTCCAGGACGACGGCCAGCATCTTGCCGTTGGTGGCGCGCAACGAGTCGTCTTCCAGCTGCGCCTGGTGCACTTGCAGCGGCAGCAGCCGGTGCTTGTCGTTGGTGCTGGAGAAACCCACCACCGCGCCAGCCGTGTTGCCAGCCAGGTGCCAGGCGCTGGTCGCTAGGCGCTGCGGAAACTGCCGCGTCTCGACGAGGTAGACGCAGTGGTCGAGCCAGAAGTCCACGACTGCCATGTTGTGGCTTAAGTAGCGATGCATAAGCGCCATTTGCCGCGAGTTGCTGGTGTCCACCTTGGCCACGATGTCGAAGACCCGCAAGTCCTCTGATACATTACATGAACAAGGAGCAGGGGTCCCGCATGCATGTCGCTCAACACCATACATTCTGTTGAGGGCGGTCGTTTACATTACTACTCATTACCGATAACACATGATGTCCCTGTTGCCGTGCTTTCTCATGCAGCGGGCAGCACAGCAAATAAACTAATGACCCATGGGTCCCTCTGTCTGTTTGTCCGGGTTTTCAGGCAGGTATGAAGCAGTATGTACCCACCTGCTGGGACGCCGCCCCGCGACAATTCCAGCCACTCTCCGTACATGTGACGCTGCATGTTTGCACCCACGCCCAGCAGCTTCCGCAGCGCCGCTTCAAACTCCGGCTGCGACAGGCCGTCATAGTAGTACGACAGGTTAGTCAGCAGCAGCGCCACATCCGGCTGTGCGAACTCGCTGCGCTCTGAGGGCGTGTGCGCCGCACGGAAGGGCACGGCCATGCGCTTCGCTGCCGTAGGTCGCCTGCGGGCGGCAAGGGCGGGTAGCAGGACGACATGCAGGTCACACTTACAGCAAATGAAGGGCGGGACTGCTGTGCGTTTAAAGTGGTATTCTTGATTTCAGACAGGCCTTGATTTCAGCCAAGCCGCTGGAGGAAGACTAAGCACACGCAATACCTTACTTTGCCGGTCGCTCTAGATCCTCACATGCACCACGCATTGTACGGCGGCTGCTAAGGAAGGTAGTCTAAGAGGTTGCCTGCCTCCCCAGTTCTCACCCCCCTCAGCTTTCCAACAAGATGCCACTGCCTTCCCCCTCTCTCCCCTCCCCACCTGCTCACGCCGTACTCCACGAGGTGTCGCTTCTGCAGGCAGTACTGTAGCAGGTTGCACGCCAGCAGCCCCCGCAGCGCCAGAACCAGAGCCAGTTGGGCCTCCGACAGCTGCTCCTCGGCCGGCCCCACGGCGTCCGGCCCCAGGATGTCCGTCGCCGCCTGAGCCTCGTCCGTGACGACGCACTGCAGGATGCGCTCCTGCATGCATGGGCGAGTCAGGGGTAGGGTGTGGAGCTAGATGGGCGCACCATGAGGTAATGGGCTACAGCCCAGCGCCACCGGGATACCGCCCCGCCTTACCTTTAGCGCGTGGTGCTTCAGCCACTTGAGCTTGTACGGCGGATTGGCGATGAGATCCCTAGCAAGAGCGCGCCGCAGCCTTGGCATCACTGCCTTGAGGGCCTCTCCGGGCAGCAGCCGTACACCGCAGAAGGCCCCGGGAGAGCCCCGGTGTGGGCTCGAACACAGCGGCGGCCGCTGGAAGCAGCGGCGCAGCGGCAGTCGTCAAGAGCTGCGAGAGGGCGTGCAGCAGCGCCTGGACGGCGCCCGTGCGTCCCTGGATGGAGGGCAGGGCAGTGCGGCTGCCGCAGGCGTGGATGAGCTGGTACCTGGGGGGATGAGTGAATGACCGTTGCAACGGTAGCAAATGAATACGGGTTGGCAATTGTTTGGGGCTGGGGGACCAGAACGAATGGATGCCTGCTATGCTAAGGCTCAGTCGGTTGGCCTACCGTAGTCAAGGGCACTAGTCACATAGACTAACGTATAGCAAAACGCCTGGACCCCTTTGTACTATACTGCGAAATGTAAAATTACAGCCATCAGCTCACGTAAATGTCTTACTGCGGCGGCCGGGCAATTGTAGCGGGGGTGGATGTCGGCGGCGTCGCTGCAGCTCGTGGGGCATGGACGGAGCACTGGATCCAGCTGCAGCGACGCCGGCGACATCCACCCCCCCTACAATTGCCCGGCCGCCGCAGTAAGACATTGTGCGCCGCAGTAAGACATGAGCAGCATTGTGTCGACGTAGACGGCCGCTCTCAAGCTGGGTAAGTCGGACTCGGAATCAACTCCAGCCGCATTCCAGTGCCTAGCCGGCAGTCGCATAGCAACGGCAGCCAGCCGCAGCAACGCGGTGAGGAAAGGCTTGTTTGCCAACACCGCAGAAGCGGCAGCCTGAATCTCATCAGATGTCATTTCGCTAGCGTTAAAAATGCTCGGGAATGTAGCTAAACAGAGAGAAAGGTTGTTGAGGGTGGATCTATTGCCAGCAAGCTGTGATGCGCTCAGCGTTGCTTGCCCAGGAGGACCAAGCAGCCGGTCAACCAGCCCTGGAAGCCGCTGCAGGCTGCTTCGGACATCTGTAGGAAGGAAGTCAGAGGCTGCCTGGCTGCAGCTGAGGCTGCTAGGATGACTTCGGCTGCTAGCCCGACCGTGCGCTGTGCCGCGCCTGGGCATTATAATGTTGCGATTGCGGCAGCGGTGCGTAAAGGAATTTAGCCTGAAGCAAACGTGAGGTGCAGCCTTGGTATCAGTAAACGGTTCCGGAAAACCGCAAGATGCCGGAAGGGCGCTGAAAATTGGCGGCCGGAGCGCTGACCTGGAAGGTGATGGGCTTGATGATTGGCGAGCAGCCACAGCTCAGGAGCGAAGCAATCTATGTACTAAACTTAACGCTTTCACAGCGGCAAAGATCGTGTAAGGAGTCTCCAATCTATGAAACCATTTGCCCGACGAAAGCGACCCAAGGGTCTTCAATTGCGACTTCCATTTAATTATATGCTATCTAAAATTGCTGGACTAATCTGCTGGTAATCCAAACTGCCGATGAGTTAGCATGTAGCAGCCCACGGGCAGCCATGGTAAAAAATATTTGTTTGTGTGGTTCATCAACGGCGCCGCCGCTGGTCGGCTGCCGTACACGGGCCGTCCTACGAGAGGAAGAAACAGCCGGCGGGTGCTGCATGCGATAAAGGCTCTCTCACTTTCCCATGACCTTGGTAGTGGGCTGGTTGTTACTGGAAACTCACATCGTTTGGGTCTGGTCGTTGGTGATAATGCACATGAAAAAGCGACTGCAACGTCCCACACACCCCGCGCGCACCCCCACATTACCGGAAGCTCTTACCCGTACATGAACTGTTTCCCTGTCTACCGCAGACTCCACTTTGCATCCACATGCGCGTCAACATGGTTCATACGCGTTGGCGTTCATGGGCCGATCAACCCGAAATCCAGGGCTTTCCGCTGCGTCCTGCTGCGCTGGTGGCAAGCCACATCACCGGCTCCCTTGCCCCTGGCTGCCCCGAGCAGCACCATCAGATGGGGCCGAAACATGCCAATCAAGACCAGTCCTGTGCCAAACAAGGCCTACTATTCTACTATATGCGCCGATATGCGGCCCAAACAATTAACATGCCAGTAAAGCATCTTAGGCAGTCTCACCGTCACAGCATTGCTACTCCCGCTCCCAAGCCCTGCCACGTGCTCCCACCATCCTGGCACCACTCCATGCTCCGATGGCCCCACCTCCGCTGCATGCGCGTGCAAGCAGCAGCCCAATCCCTTCGCGCTTTCCCTCCCCAAACCCTCTTTCCCTCCGCAAACCCAACCCCAACCAAGCGACACTAACCCGCCAGCCCCCGCGCCCCACGGCAGTCATCAGTCAGCCAAACCTCAACCAGGGCAAACACACACGCGTTCAAGACATGTACGTCTTGCGACTTGCGGCCAGTTTATCTAAACACACACACGCGCTCTCCCGCCTCATGACAGCATGGCGATGAGTCCGATGGCCTGATGCACCGCCTGCTTTGCCTTGGCGGCGGTGGCACCGGAGCCGCCGCGAGCAATCACCGCCAGCGCCGCCTTGACGCTGTCCAACACACCCCTGTGCGGTTGCGTGAGCGTGCGTGTGTTAAGAAAACTGGCCGCGAAGACACAAGTTGGTGTGAGTTGAGTTGCGGTGGTGTAGGAGAGCACGGTGGTTGGGCGATATCGATATGCAAGGAGCTGCTACATCGGCTACATGAGGAGGTCTACGTGAAGATAGCACCGCCCAAACGTCGTCCTTCCGCAAGCAAACCCCATGAAGGCCATGAAACAGTACACAACCGCAGCCCGCTCTCAGCTTCCCGATCCCAACCCAACACCCTCATCTACAAAACACAGTGCCCTCCTTCCCTTATGCAAGCTCCTCTCACCTGATGTGCGGAGCAAGCCCGGGCTCCCTCACATCCAGACGCTTCAAGATGGCGTCAATCCAGCCCAGTTTCAGGTCCACGTCAGCCGACAGGTCGTACGACAGGAACGTCAGCAGCGACAACAGCGTGGCTTGGCCCAGCGGGCAGGGCTCAGCGGCCAGCACGGCCGCGCCGCCTGCAGCGCTGCAGGCCCACAGCACCAGCGGCAGTTCTTGGCGCTCTAGGACACGGGAGAAGGCGCCGTCGAGGTCCCCGGAACGGAGGTGGCCTAGGCGCGAGGGAAGGAGCGAGGGAAAGTGTGCGCGTGAGGAGGTCGTGGTTGGGTGGATATATAGGGAAATAAAATTCCGCATTAGGCTTGCGGTTAGGCGGAGGGAAGAGCGCGTCATTAGGAGAAAGCGGAGAGGAAGGCCTAAAGAGTGTGGCATGGAGGTGCAAGGGGAGCAGCTACGCCTGCACGTTCGTCCGTACCTAGGACGAGCGCCTGCAGGGCGGGGTCCACAGCAGCAGGCGATGGCGGAGGCGCTGCTGCCGCCGCCGCAGCACTCACTGAGCCCGTACTTGACGACACGGCGGAGGCAGCCGGCGCAGGCTGCGGCGGCCGAGGTGCAACAGCCGGCGCCGGAGGACTGATCGCCGTCGGGGCGGCGGCGACAGGTTGAGACTTGCCAGCGGCCGCAGCAGCTTGCTGTGGTGCTGCTGCTACAGGCTTGCTGGCGGGGACCACCGCCGCCGCCGCATCCGGAGGCGCTGCTGCAGCCGACTTGGACGAGCTGGCAGCAGGCCCCGCTGCGGCGCCTTTGCCGCTGCCCTTGGCAGCAGCAGCCGCCGGAGGCGGCGCCGCCGCGGCAGCGGCGGCCGCTGCTGCGGCACGAGCCGCTGCCTGCTGCGCGGCTGTTGCCTCGCTTTTGAGTGACTTGGCCGCTGCCGCCAGCTGGGAAGCCGAGTCGCGCAGTTGGGACCCGAGGCCGGATAGTGGCTCCAAGGGCGCGAGGTGGGTGTCCAGACCGGCCCGCAGAGCCGCCTCCACCTGCCCGAACATCACGGAGGTAGCTCGCTCCAGTGGCGGCACGACCTGCAAGGCGCAAGCGAGTGGAGAGGAGAAGAAGATGAAGCAGAATGTAAACCATGCAATATCAACGTTAGAAAAAGGAGGACGGCAACCGTCAACAGCAACAACCCGGTCATTTCACCATTTTACCGTTTACCGCATTTTACCGTCACCGTCACCAACTGGGTCACCAAGATCAGTCAGCAGGTGTCACACCCCCGGTCGAACCCAACCCACCGACCCACCTGGGAGGTGAAGGCCGCTCCCAACCCGTCCGCCACAGCTCGCGGCAGCGACGCCGACAGCTGAGCGCCCAGTGCTCGTTCCAGTGCGGCGGCGGTGGCGCCGGCGGAGAGGGCGGCGGGCAGGGCTTCTGCGATGGCGGCGGAGACGGCGGGCCCTATGGCGGCCTTGACGGCGGCGGTGGTGGCGGCGGCGGCGTCGGCCACGCGCTGGGAAATGTCCTTGGAGGCTTCGGCGATGGCCTGGATTCAAGAGAGCAAAGGTGCAAGAGCTAACAGGCCCCGAAGAGAAGGAGCAACAGGGTTAGGGACGGCTTAACAGCTCAAGGAGGTACAGGAGTGAAGAGAAGGGCCAAACCGCATAGTTACCACCCATACGACCACCCATACCGCCACAAGGAACAACAACATACCGCTGTGAGTGTCCTCTGCATGTCCGCCGCCTCCTTGCGGCGCTCCTCCGCAGCCCGCCGCGCCACCGCCTCCGCCGCACGTGCCGCCGCCGCGTCCGCTGCCGCCTTGGTGTTGCGCAGCGCCTCCGCCTTGACCGTCTTGAGCAGCTCGCGTTGACCCGAGGAGAGCTGGGGTGGCACGGGCGAAAAGGAAGAGGACGAGGGAGAAAGGGTTAGGAGGGGGAGAGCAGGTTAGACGAGGATAGGGACAGGGATGTGCGCCGCACAGTGGGGTACACGGGTTACAGAGGGTTACGCCATGTCTAAGGTGGCCCTGTGGCTCACAGGCAGGTTTCTAGCCGATACGTAACGGAAGGGAGCACAGGGTTGTACAGCAGCCGTGCCAATCAAGCAGAGCTTCATTGACCTTCAGTATCCATGACGAAACAGGGGGCTGCGTATCAGCTCATACCTGTTCCAGCATCTGTTGCTGCACAGCCAGCAGCTGCGTCAGCTGCTGCTGCGTCTGCAAGTCCACAACGGCGGCCGGCGCCAACGGCGGCAGTAGCGCCGACAGCGGCGGCGCCGAAGGTACGGCATCTGCCAAGGTAGTGGCGGATGACTCCGCTACCACTTGCGGCTGGCCGGCGGCTTCGGTGGTGGTAGTAGCGTCAGCAGCGGCGACAGCGGTACCCTGGGGAGACGGACCTCCGGTCGCGGCGGATGGCGCGGATAGCGGCGAGGGAGCGGATTGGGGGCGACGGGCATCGGGTGAAGGTGCACCGCTGGGAAGCTTGCCCTGGGGAAGAACGTGGGACGAAAACCGGGAAGTGGGGGCTCAGCTCGGACTATGTAGAATTGTAGATGCAGGCATGCACCGGGGCGGAAGCATGTAAATTTTTCATGACGCCAGGTAGAGCTACGGCATGCGAGAAGAGCTACCATGAAACATACGGGCTAGATCTACCTCACTGGGAACAACCGGAACGCCTCCATTTGGTCCAGTCATGGGCAATGCAATCCTTCGACTGAGCCGTCTACAGACCTACAGGCAGGCTTACCTGCACCTGGGATATCCGCCGTACCAGCTGAGCGGAAGGCTGAGGCGGCATACTTGCAGGAGAGGACTGCGCCGGCAGCAGCGCCGCCACCGCCGCAGCAGCCGCCAGCTTTGCACTGTCGGCCGCAGCTGCCTCCGCTGCCGCTCTCTCCTCCGTCGCCGCCGCCACCGCCGCTTCCGCTGCCGACACCGCCGCCGCCGGTACGTTCAACTCGGAGGCTGTCGGGGAAACGCTGTCGGGGAAAAGCAGGGACTGCGTCAGGCTGCTGCCTCCCAGCGACGACATATCCACGTCTTCCCCAGCCGTCGCCACAATGCTAAACGCATCCTCAGCGCCGGCGTTGCCGGTGTCGGCGACTGCGGCAACCGCGGGAGCAGAATGTGCCGCTGTGGTGGCGGAGGCGACGCTAGGGCCCGCAGCTCCCGCCGCTTGCGCCGCCGACCGGGCCGCCGCCGCCGCCGCGGCGGCGGCAGACTGCATGAGCTGACTTGGCGTCAACAGCAGCGCAGCCGGCGGCGGCGGCGGCAGCGTCGCTGGCACCTCTTGTACCGCCTCCGTCTCAACCTCGGCGGTTGCCTCTTCCGTTTCCTGCTGCGCTTGTGCTTGTGCATCCACAGCCTCCCCTAGCGTCTCCGCCACCTCGGCCTCCACCTCCGCCTCAGCCGCATGCGCGAGCGTCTCCTCCCGCTCGCGGCTCTCCTCCAGCTCCGCAGCTGCGGTGGGCTCAACCGGCAGCGCCTCCGCCTCTACGTCGGCAGCGGGCGCAGCAGCTGCCGAGCCCGCCTCGCTGGCTGCCGCCTGCTCCTCCATGTCCTGGGCAGCAGGCGCCGCTGCAGCGGGTGCAGCGGCTGCAGCAGGGGCCGCAGCGGCAGCAGGCGGCTGCAGGAACCTGAGCGGGCTGGTCGCGTCCGACTCATCCGATGGGGCGGTAAGCAGCACGGCAGACGGCTGCGGCAGTGACGTCGATGCCGGTGGCTGCTGCTGCTGCTGTTGCTGCTGCAGGTGCTGTTGCTGGAAGGCTAGAAGCGCCGCCAACGGATCCCGGATGCCTGTGGTACGGCTGCCTGCCGCCGCCGCCGCTGCGTCCGAACCTGTGGCGCCCCCGACCAAGTGTGGGTGCTGGTGGTGGTGGTGGTGGCTGCCCGGCGCTGCGCCTGCAGCGCCAACCGGGACGGAGGAGGATCCCAGCGGTACACCAGCGGCACCGCCGCCGGGTGAGACCGCCGCCGCCGCCGGCAGCAGCGGCAGCGGAGCCGCCGCTGCCCTTGGGAAGCACTGCTCCGGAACCAGCGTGTACTGCTGTACGGCATCGCTTTGAATGGTAAAGAGGTGGAAGGCCTCAGCGTCCGTGGACTCGTCCACAAAGGCCTCAGGTACCACCGTGCACGACAGGATGGGCGTCTTGACGCTAAACTCGGAAGCGTAGTCAAACGACGGCCCGGTGCCGTCAGCCCGTGGAGCCGCGTCCACGTGCAGTACATACACCAGGTTTCGGAGCTCGTTGGCGAGTACGACACAATCGTACAAGTACTGCACCTCCATGTGGTTGAAAAACGAGGCGGCGGCGGCACCGCCGCCGACAGCGCTCGCCAGCTGTAACGCATGCGTGCACTGCGGCTTGGACGACAGGTCGATGTTCCAGAGCTTGAGATGCGCATTAACGCCATCGCCCGTGAGCAGAACCAACGGAGCACCGCCGTTGCCGCCGTCGCCGCCCTCAGCGCCGCCGCCGCCGCCGCTGCCTCGTGAGGGCAGCCAGTACAACGACGCCACCGCCGCCAGCTGCAAATCACCCTCACCGTACGGCACCTCTCCCGGCGCGTTGCCGTACGCCTGGAACCGAATATCCGGCTCCGAAGCCAACGGCTGGATTAACGCCGGATCCAGCTGCTCCGCCGTCAGCGCCCACACGCACACGTAACCCTGCGCATCACCCGCCGCCAGCAGATCTCCAGACGGAGAAAACGCGACCGAGGTAAACACGGCGCCGTCAGCGCTGCTCGCCGCCGCCACGGGGGCGGCATATTCCGGCGCTGCTGCCACGTCAGCGGTTGGCGGCACGTTGACAAAGTACACAGTAGGCCCCGCGGCAACAGCAAGCACAAAGTCGTATGTGGGGTGCCAGGCAAGGCGGGCGGGTGGGTGCGCTGCGGGGCCCAAGGTAGCCACCGGCAGCTCATGGCGAGCGAGGATCTCGTCCCGGACCGTGTCCTCGCCGCCCGTGTCTTCTTCGTACACCTTGCGCACGTGGACCTTTTGTTTGGCAGAGAGGGGGCAGGGAGGGGCAGGAAGGAGAAGTGGAGTGGGGTTGTCGCCACGGCCAACGTGACGCACAGATTAGCGGATACAGCTTTAACACGAAGCTTGCAAGGCGGTTTAGGCGGGTTAGACGTTCTACCCTAACGCATACTAGGTGCCCCAAGCACGGAAGGCCCACCCAGGCCGCCACACCTGCCCCGACGTATCCACCGACGCCAGCAGGCACCTCTCCGCGTCATGCCGGAAGAAGCGCAGGTCCGTGAGCGGCGCCACATGGTCCTTCAGCAGCGTGCGGGCGCCCGTGTGGCGGTTGAGGATGCGGATCTGGCCGCCCTTGAGGCCGTAGCTGTAGTAGGTTGCGTCCACCGCGATGCAGTGGCCGTGGCGGCGACTGACCTCCGACTTGACGTTGGCGATGCGGGAAACCTGTGGGCGGCCGGGTGGGTGGGTGAGAGGGCGTGAGGGGCAGCGGGTGAATGTGCTAGCAGGTGGGAAGAGAGGATTGCGGGGCGGAGTACAAGGCGGGGTTAGGACGAAGCCTGGGGGTAAGGATGCCGTAGGGTGCTCGTCTGTATCGCCAGTGCTGAGGGGACACAGGGTGCGAAAGATGCGGGGTAGGAAGGAGGTGTGCACCCACCACGAGCGTGGAGGTCGCGTCGGGCCGGTTGCGGTCCACTTTGAGAACCTCTTGGAGGGGTGAGATGGGAGTGCCCTGCGGCTGGGGGTGCTTCTTATCGGGCACTCCGCCTGATGAGAGGGCTGCCGCCAGAGCCGCTGCCGCCTGACTGTGAGGCGCCGCGATCCGGCTAGGAGCAGCTGCACCCTGGGCCGCGGGTGAGGATGAACTTGGCATTGTTGGGTGCGGTCCTGCTGGTTGCGTGGTGGCCGCATCCGCTTGCGGGACCTAACGGGTGCAGGGAGTGGCTGATAGATGTTAAAAAACAAAATTTGTTTTAATATATATGTATGAACAATCGCATATGTTTGCGCGACACGACCAGATAGTGAAAAGGTTTCCGAAGAGACGTGATCTAAACAAAAAATGTGCACAAAGCTCACCTGTGCCCCCGCTTGCTTAAGCCATCCCATCAGCTCGAAGCCAGGGGCCATGGTCCCCAGCTGGGGCTCTTAAGGCCCCACCAAAATTGCGAAAAGCAGTAATGCCTTGCAAGAGACAAATTCAATTCGCTCTTCCTAATCCTTGATGTGACCCTCTACAAACCTAAGTGTAACTAAGCTTGCAATGCGTGTTTGGGGGGCTGCGCTTGTTCTTTGCCCCGCCTCGTCCATACCGTACACGGATTCATTGTATCCAGTTGAGAACGTTGGCCCTATCTGGTATACCTTAGTATTGCTGCTGCTGATCATAGACAGACGAAGGAACCTGTGCCCCATATTTCTGCATTTTTCGCCGTCCCCGCCAAAATGTACCCCGTCAACTCTGTGGGCGGCATGCCTAGAGAGCAAGAGTATGCTCCTTTACTTTTTGCAGTGCAACCATTAGATCAAGCAACTCCACGTGCGGCGACGCCGCTTCGTGCTGACACCAGCAGTTTAAGCACGCAGCGGCGGTCGCTGACGCAAACTCCAGGCTCAATGGCAACGGACGCGACACCTCCACCACCTCCACCAATTATGCGGCTTGCTGAGGATGTCGTCATGGGTAAGACCTGTTGCAGCTGAGGTGGTGGGGTCTACGTGGTACGGGCACCCTCACCCCAGGCGCTGTACGCCCAGACGCTCGTCCAGCCTTCTCTTCCGCTCTGCCTCAAGACGCAGGCACCTCACGGATGCGTAGCACCCCGTCTGCCTGCTGTCATGTTTTCCCCGCCTCCAAGCGGATGCCCCTTCCTTGTCTTTCTATTGTTTCCCCAACCGGCTGCATGCGCCCATCCCTCCTCACACCGCCTCCACTCCACCCCTGAACCCACCTCCGCACTTCACCCCTCAACGCCTCAACTCAATCCCTTCATTCTCCACCACCGCAGAGGACCCCGGCAGCGCTGCTCGCGGTGTAACACCACCAGGCCGGCAGACACCCCAGCAGCCCGGACTCACGCCCGCTGCCACCGCTCCTCAGCCGCAGCCCCTCACAACCGCAACCGGCCTCTCCCTGGAGCAGCAGCAGCCCGCCTACGACGACGTGTGGGTGACCGTGTTTGGCTTCACGCAACAAGACCTGCCGTTCGTGTTGCGGGAATTCCACCGTTGCGGCGACATTGTCAGCTGGGGTTTCGGAGAACCACAAGCCAACTTCATCCACGTGCAATACCAAAACAAGTACGGCGCGCAACGGGCGCTTCTTCGCAACGGCGAGCAGCTAAACAATTCACTCATCATCGGAGTCAAGCCGCTCGATCCGCGGCATCGCCAGCGGGTTGCATCGCTGCAGGAGGGGCCCGACAGTCCCGCGCAGGTGTACCGACCCAAGCCGGTTCCGGAGCGGCCGTACCGGGTGGAGGCGGCAGCGGGGCAGCGAGTGCCGCAGCCCAACCGCTCGGTGGTGACTCGCATGTATGAGTTTGTGCTGGGGATGTAATGGGATGGGATGGGGGGAGTGTTGGGAGTGGGGATAAGGGGCTGGTTTTGTCGGGTAGTGGTGCGGGTTATGACGTGGGGTAGCTGTGAGGGCTTTTGCGTGGAGTGACAGACAATGGGCGTATCGGGGCTCTTGGACGTGTAGCTTAGTTTTATTGACGGATGGTGTGTGGCGGTGGCCAGCTACTGACCTTTTCACTGAGGTCCAAGGCATGCATGTTCAGGGCCTTGGTCATGCAACGCCAATTGCACCGCCTTTTTTTGTGGCGCTTCTAGTGGAGGGTGAGTGTTTGTAGGATAGTTATGGGTGCTGCCAACAGGTGTGCTGCTCCCAGTAAGCGGCGAAATGCAGCAGTACACTGGCGTTGCGTGGTTTGTTGTGCGCCACGAGCTTGTACGCCCATGGGCCGACTTTTGCCTTGCTGGTTTGACCATGTTTATTTGGTAGGCGTATGCGTATGTACGTAGACGTGTGAACTACACTGCTATGCGCACCTACTGCGCTGCGTAGAACATTGAATGTCAATATAGCTTACAGGCCCAGTCAGACACTCGGTGCAGTTCTCGGAAGGCTGTGATGCTGGCAACTGCCGGTGGTCTGTCGAAGTGTTGGCCGTACAGGGGCATTGTACACATACCTACGCTTCTGGACTCCTTGTTATCTGAGAGACCAAAATTGTTTCCACAGGTTTGATGGTCCTAGAAATGTGGTTCGCCTCCCGCAACAAACCCATTTTGAGCAGTGCAGGACCGAACTACCCTGGGCTGCGGCGTCTTCACCAGCCCTCAACTTCAAACATGTATGAACACGACATTTAATGACGCTCTAGGCTGCTAAGTAACATCGACAACCACCATTACGTGCCAGACCAGACCACGTACTTGCACCCAAAACGTCGCCTGCGCCACGATTCACCAATGCCGGAGCCCGAGGGGCAGTTATTGGCCGCCAAACATAGCAACCGGGCCCCCCCCAAGCAACAGTATAAGGCATTGCGCCTTAAGGCCGTATTGACAAATCGCTTGCCAGGCATTCAGGTCACCACAAACCAAAAGGCAGCTTAAGCCTTTAGCCCCGGGTATCTGCACAGCCTGGATACACTAGGATACACCATTACCTTTACCCAGCGTCGCTACTCGCTTCCCCGCGCGTTAGCACATGGGAGTACCGTACATGCAGTTCAAACACAGTCAATGTCACGACACTCAAAAAGTACAGTCCTAGCGGCGCCGCTCGCAATGCTGCTACCTTCTTTTGCTCCTCTCTGCGCTCCACCGTCTTATACAGCCCCCGTCAAAAAAACACGCCCTGTAGTACTGTTACGGCGCGTCATGGGGCGCCCTGCCATACAGTCGCCCAGCCAAGCATGCACAAGCCACTTCACGTCACGTCGCCTATCAGCGCTTCGTCACCCAGGTGCTAGGCGCTACCACCAGTGCTGTGCACACAAAGCGTGCACACAAATCGCGGTAGGTACTTTAGGCGTATCCAAGTGTACTACAGGCCAACGACCTTCCACGTGCGGATTGAGTTGTCAGCGCTAGCAGACGCCAGGAGGCTCTGGTCGGGCGAAATGGCCACCGCCAGCACCTCGTCCGAGTGGCTCGCCTTGCCCAGCGGGTCCGGCTGGATGGTGTGGAAGCAGGTGCCCGTGCTGATGCGCCACAGCTTGATGGTCTTGTCTGCGCGGCGCAGCGAGGGAAAGAGGTGAGATGGCATGTGCAAGGCAAGCGCGGAGGGAATGACCCATGGGTCAGTGTAGGCTGTAAGGTGTGGCATCTTCCTCCTGGGTCAGCCGCCGATAGGCAGCGGGTAAAGCTGTATCACCCCGCCAGTGGCTGGTGGCATGTAGCGGAGTAACCCGAGTAGGCAACTGCAGAGAGTAGTAAACGGCATGCCTTCCCTCGGGATTCTCCTCACCTTCGCCGCCGCTGAACACCGTGTCCCCGTCCGGCGCCGTGCACACGCAGTGCACCTTGCCCTGGTGGCCGGTGAAGGTGTGCAGCACATCGCCCGTCTCAACGTCCCAGCACTGCGGTGCGGCGGGGGCCGGGGGGATAGAGGAGCGTGGCAAGATTGCAGCGGAAGAAGAGAAAGAACCATGCGTTGGTGGGCAGAGGAGCGGCACAGGGGCAGAGGAGCGTGACGGGACCATGGGGGCCAATGGTGATAGCACAACGGCGGAAGCGCAAGAGGCGCCAGACGGATGGCATGGGCTCTTATATAAATAGAGAAACAGTGCTTCTAGAGTTCTTAGAGGGCTAATGCTAGCGCACTGCATAAAGCTGGCGGGCTTTGTCTGCAGTACGTATGTGTGGCAGCACATCTTACATGCACTTCCGTACATGCCGTACACACTCACCTTGATCACCTCGTCCCACCCCGCGCTCAGCAGCTTCTTGCCGTCCGGCGTGAACGCCACACCCACGACGTGGCTGGTGTGGCCTATGAGCGTGGCCTTCAGCTCGCCCGTCCCCAGGTCCCAGAGCTGTGTTACCGTAACATGGATGAGGGCAACCAACAACCAACAGTGTCATGGAGGATAAGTGTGAAGTCAACAAAACAGGTTAGTTGAGCATTGTATGAGAGTTGCAGGGTAGTGGGCATGAGGTATGGGAGCGTGGGTACGAGCGTGGGCACGTGGAAAAGGCTGGGTGCAGGCGAAAATCCTTGAGGAAGCATTGAGGGCCCACCTTAACGGTTTTGTCCGCGGAGGCCGTTGCAATGAGCTTGCCGTCCGGGCACAGCACAACGCTGTAGACTGTGCTCGTGTGCGCCTTAACCGTCTTCTGGAGGTTGCCCTTCATGATCTCCCATATCCGTATCGTCTCGTCGTGGCTGCAGGTGATAATCTTCTGGCTGTCCTTAGATACGCATACTCCGTAGACCGGCGCACCGTGCCCTAAACACCAAGCAATGCCACAATTAGTGACATTCGGTAAGCCGTCGGCAGGATGCGTAGTAAGCCAAACCAATGGCAGGCACAAGCAACATCCGGATGCCTACTGCGCACCTTCAAGCGTCATCCGCAGCGTGCCTCTGAGCAGGTCCCATTCTATGATGGTTCTGCACGGCGAAAACTCTTTTATTCGCAAGGCATCACAACGAACAAACTCGCAGCTGCTCACAAACCGCAACTATAGAATATGGACGCTTAGAAATCTTCAAACGAAGAAAGGAAGATACATACCTGTCTTTCGAAACGCTGAACAGGATGGTGCCCGAACCGATGAAATTGAGGGCGTGCACCTTAGCGTTGTGCCCTGTGAAAATGGTTCGCAAGTTTCCTGACTGAACGTCCCACATGCGCACGGTGTTGTCATCGCTGCCCGATGCAAGCAGGAATGAATCTGGTGAAAAGCACAGGCTGGTCACTGCGTCCGCATGGCCCTTCAGGGTGTGCTTCCGCTCGACCTGCAATTGCATATACCGCATATGCAACAAACGTAACCAAACAAAAGCACAAAGTGAAGATAATATGATGTGTTAGATGACCTTCGGGGCGACCTAGCCAAGGGAAACAAGCGTAACAGTTTAACGCCTTTTAGCTTTCCTTGACGCCCCTGTTGAAGGACATACCCGAACAATTTTCGGAATGTGTTGCGGAAGAGGTTCCTTTGGCAGCTGAAGCCCAAGCGCTGCACCGCGGGACGCCTTGATAGCGCTCACTGAGGCTCCTCCTGACAGTATTGATATCTCCGCCGAAAGCTGTGCTGCCATTTCTGTCCCCTACTAATAATTAATTGCGACTAGGCCCCCAGCGGGCTATAGGTCAGGGGCGAGCCATGTGCACGTATGTTTCCAGGTACTTTAAATCATTCGAGCCAGCAAACAGCAAATGTCAGGTAGGATGCAGTTTTAATTTGCTACCATGGCATCTGCAGGCGGGACTTTACCGAAGCGCATTGCCGCAGATAGTATCTAACTGGACAGGTACGGCGTTTTGTACAGCCTTCAACTACCAGAAAACTTTAAGCTTGCACAGCCAGGAAATTGATAGTAGGCAATGTCAGCCGTGTTATCCTGTCTGGCCAACGTCAACCAACAACACCGTTGCGCACTGTTGGGGCGCTGGCGTGGTCCCAAACCGTTGCTGCTGCGCAGCACAATTGCCGCAGCACATCACTTCACTTTGCAACTGCAGTCGTATGTCGGCAACAGTGTCATAGTTAACTAGCGTAACGAAAAATTGAACTGCTGTGGCGGGGATACGAAATACCGCGTGCGGCTACTGCCGCCCTTGCCGGTAACATTGACCGTTCCCGCCTCAAGCGGGTCGAACCCCTATTCCAAGGCCGCAACTATAAGCATCCAGCCATAGCATTTTGCCTGGAGGGTATTAAGCAACTGACAAAACGCAAACGTCAAGCCACGTCTCTGCCATCCCTGGCAAACATGGATGTCCTACAACACGCCATAGCAGGGCGGATGCCCTGCTTTGCCATATCCACCCAAGCACGTCACCGTACAAAAACGTTTGGTCAACTTGTGCAAGTCATGTTTCGCACTCTGCTGATGCTGATGCTGCCGTTGTGAAAGGCAGCCGCTGCTACTGCTGCTGTTGCTGCTGCGCCGCTTGCCAGGCCGCCAGCCGCTCTTGCATTGCCTGCACAGAAACAAATTGGCTGTTTCAAAAAGATTTTAAAAGGCATCACAATGCTTGAGAGTTGGGATCCAAACCGATAAGGTGAGCCAAGGTCTGGGACGGCGGTACTGCCTTGAGAGACCAGTTGACCCATGGGTCACAAACCACACGGAGACAACCGCAAAATGCTATGTCTCTTACTACCCCGCCCCCCCCCCACACACACTCCCTTTCTTCATGTCCATTGGAAGCACCTCTTAAGGAAGAAACATCACAGCAAGATCTACTTAACGGTGGTGCAACACTCTCGTTCCCAACTAAAGTTGAACGTTGCTGTTTTGCTGTAACATACCTACAAACTGTACACCACCCGCAGCAGCATGACGTACCCTGCCAGCCCTTTATCACCCCCTTCCCCCTTTCCACCCTTCGGGTATTCTTTCTTTTCCATCCTCTTTATTTACCTTGAGTTTCGCCTCGCTAGCTGCCTGCTTCTCCGCTTGCGTCTCCGCCTTCTTGCGCCTGCATGTACAGCAGGAGGATGGGGAGGAGCTCATCAAAACAACATGATGCGTGTAAAGCACAGGGAAGGAACGCATCAAACACGCAAGCAACAAGGATCTGCTCCCACCCTCGCAACCCTCGTGATATACCGGTACCCACTTGGCCTCATCCAGCCGGTTCGTAATGCTCCCGCCCTCGCCGCCCTCCTCCGCACCACCACCCCCAGCAGCAGCTCCCTCCCGAGGCGGCTCCGCTGCCGGGCTGAAGGCACGTGAGGCAAAGGGGATGGCGGTGACGGTGGCGGGGGCGCCGGCAACCGCCACTCGCACGCCTGGGGTGAAGGGTTGAGATGGTTGCGGGGTAGGGGTGACGAAATGATGACGTAATGGTGCAAGGTGCGGCGAAGGAAGGGATCAAGGAGTTGTATGCATCATCGCGCAACACGGCACGAAGAACGCAACCCCCAAACGCAACTTAGGTTTTCCTCGCCGTCCTGTCCTGTCCTGTCCTGTCCTGTTCCACCCCCCTCAGTCTCATTATATATATTTTTTACCCCTCAGTCTCACCTTCCAGTTGTATTTGCGTGCCCTCCAGCCGGCAGCGCAGGTAGCCCAGCCCCACCCACTCGCCCTCGCCGTCCTGACAGGCACTCGTCACCGCGCCCGCCTGGCAAAAGGGGCAAGCGGGGTAACAAGAGGCAAGCGGGGGGCGGGGGAGGGTACGGCATGTGCATCGGAGAAAACTAGGGCCGCGACTCCTGATGGAACGTACTGGATAATCGGAAGGTGATGTCCTCCCCATCAAAACGCCACGGGAGACACGGCATGTGTATGCGTGGAGGGTGAAAAGAAGGTGGGCCCCGGCTTGGCTCCCTCCATCCTTATTCCAGCCCCCATTCTCCCGCAGCAACCTGACTGCAGCAACTCCTACAAGGAAGACCGTATACTGCGAGTAGCCCCCGTAAGCATTACCCCAGTACCCCATCTCCCCCCCTTGTAGCCACCTGCCTTGCTCAGCTCGCTGGTAATCAGGTCCCCGGGGGCCGCGGGGCCGCTCAGCCGCAGCCCCCACAGCTGCCGGTTGACCCCCTCGCGCAGCTGCAGCTTGGACAGCGTCTCCTGGGGGTGGGTGCGTGGCAGGGCGGGGTGAGGCGTGATGAGGAAGGACGGGTGTCAACGTGACTCGTATGGCACTGCTTGTACAATAATGTACGGTAGGCTTGTACAATAATGTACGGTAGGCCGTACAAACCCAACCAGGCCACCCCTCATGGGCCCCACCTCCCCCCCCACCTGGCCAATGTAGCAGCCCTTGTTCAGCGACACGGCGTCGTACAGCCCGGCTTCGAGCGGGTTGTAGTCCTCGGTGAGCTCCGACCCACGGGTCGGCCGACCCGCCAGGATGCGAGCCGCCTCCCAGTCCTCACTGCCCATGGGGATAGCGCCCTGTGGCGTCAAGAATATTCCGGATAAGCTTTTTCTTCCTTATTGCTTTAGGCGGCAGGTTGTTCGTAGGAAAACGTAACTATTAACAACTATTAAGCATCGTAATAACCTAATAAACAAGACTAGAAGCCGCTTAACAGGTTTGGATGCAACATGAGCAGCGATCGACACGCATCGGTGCGTCAACGTGCTTTTGCTATTCTACTCAGAAGTTGCTTGCTACTACCCACCCCCTCTCCGCCCTCTGCTCTGTCGTACTACTGCTTACCTTCCGTACCAGCATGCCGTACAGCTCCCCCGCCACCTCCTCGTCCACCACCAACATGAAACCCGGCACGCCCCGCCCCAGCCCGCTGCCCGCCGCCACCAGCAGCGGCCGGCCCCGGAAGCCCAACAGCAGGTGGGGCCAGGTGCTGGGGGTGGTGGGGGTGCTGCTGGGGGACAGCAGCGGGGCTAGGGCGTCAGCCTGCGTGGTGCGGGAAGGTTGGGGGGGGGAGGAGGTTGGGGGGAGGTTGGCAGGAGCGATTGAGGTATGAGGAGGATAGGGAGGACAGGGGCCCAGAGGCAGCGGACACCGGGATGAGGGAACCCCCACCACACCCCTTCGGGGGCTGCCACTACAAGGCTGCCACTATTCTGGTAACAGCTTGGACCTTCTTCCTCACCCCACATCCCTCCCGCCCTCCTTCCCCTGCTCTCCCTTCGCTCCCGCCCTCCTTCCCCTGCTTTCCCTACTCCCCCTGCTTTCCCCCCTCCCCCCCCTCACCGGCGCCAGCTCCCGCAGCACCGCCTCCGCCCCCGGCCCCAGCAGCGCCAGCTGGCAGGTGCGGGGGGTGACGTCATGGATCTGGGGGTGTTGAGGGCGAGCGGGGGAGGAGGGGGAGGAGGGGAGCGGGGGGAGGGCTGGGAAGAGCAGGAACACGAGGTTTGGGGTGACACAGGCATGTGAGGCGTGTGCGCGGTTGCCATCATGCGGTATTCTTGGCAGGAGGCATGTGTTTCGAAAACACACGAAACACACACACACACACACATACACGGGCCTTCGGTCCGGTCGTTTTACGAGAGTGCTTCTTACGTCCTACTTACTCTCAGCACCAGTATTGGACTTCTATATGTACATACGCTACCATATTCCTCGGCTCCTGCGACGGTTCTATGGGGACTTCATCTTCCGACAATATCAGTACGTTCCTATTCGCGGCCAGTTTTCTTAACACACACACACCTGCACGTCATCCCCCGGGAACACCCGTCCCTCCAGCCTGCCCGCCAGCTCCTCCGCCCCCCTCCGGCAGTCCAGCAGCAGCAGCACCCCGGAGCGCTGCAGCAGGCAGGTGGCGAGGGCAAGACAGCGGCCGCGGGCGCTCACAAACACCTGCAGGGGCAGCGGCAGCAGCAGCGGCAGGGGCCGGGGCACCAGCAGCGGCAGGGGCAGCAGGGGCAGCAGCAGCGGCAGGGGCAGTAGTGGCAGCGACAGCAGCAGCAGCGACAGCAGCGGGTGGGTGGGTGGATGGGTGGGTGGGTGAACACATGGTGCTGTGTGATGATGTCATCAGACGTACGAGTGAAGGGATCGAGGAGTGCTGGCCCCGGGAGATCTCTGACATTCCCATACCGTATCAGTTAGATGTTTCCTCTTTAACCTTCCCCTGACGGCTCCTTCCCCTTGCCGTGCCCTCACACGTGGTTTTCATAGGCAAGGGTTGCGTTCCCATGCCCCCCTCGCCCCTCACCGTGTCCACCCCCTCCCCCGCCTGCAGCCCCCGCAGATCTGCCGTACTCTGCCCCTGCAGCAGCTCCCGCGCCCCGCCGCCCGACAGCCGCAACCGCCCCCAACCGCTGCAGTCGTACAACACGAAATCCCCTCCTTCACCGCCGCTGCTGCCGCTGCTAGGGCTGCTGTCGCTGCTGCTGCTGCTATGGCTGCTGTCGCTGCTGCTGGTCTCGGAGGAAGGTGTGGAGGAAGGTGGGGGCCCGAAGATGGCTCGCAAGGCCTCTCGCTTGCGACCAAAAGTTGTGGCGTTGCCTTGGTCCTGTGGAGAGGGGCGCGAGAAGAGGAGGGCGTGAGGGAGGGCTCAACGCATGCGTTTGTTTGTGTAATTCAACCGGCAGCAGAAATTGACATTGACAGTATGTGAGTCGGTGTGTGCCAGCGGGGACATTTGTTAACTCAAGTTGGCAGGCTTTTATAAGAACTCACATCAAAGATGGCTCCCATTTCAACTTGCAAGGAGCGAATATCGCCATCGATCTCCGGAATATCCAACTCGAAACCACCCAGGGTTACGGAGGGCGTTGGTGATGATGGCGGCTGAGAGGAGGAGGAAGGAGAAGGGGAGGGAGAAGAAGAACCAGAGCTGTACGACACAACAGCAGTACGACTGCCGTACAACCGACGACTATCTTTTTGCCGGCGCTGTTGCAGGCCCTGGGGTTGTTGGGGCTGCTGGTGCTGTTGAGGGGGTCGGCGGTTTGGCGTAGCGCTGCTGTTGCAAATGGTGGAGAGTACATGTATTGGATGGGAAGAATTTGAGTGAGGAGGCAAACACTAAGTTAAATACGGCGAACAGGATAGGGCAACGTTGTGGTGAGTGGTAAAAGGCATTGCGACCGGAGCTGGATTGGAGCTTGCAGGAGGCTGAGAAGATGGATGGGCGGAACAGAGGATGGATGCGCATGTAACAGGTCCCGACGGGCGAGAGGCCTTTGGGAGAGAGACCATGAGGATGGAAAGGCGGATGCAGCATGGGAACATGGTCGCCGAACGTAGGGGTGATCAATTGGTTGTGCGTGACTGAAGGATGATGTAGGATTACGGATGGAGATGGGAAAGGTGTCAGATGGCAACCGCTCACGCTAGCGCGGGCAACGCCCAAAGCAATGGATGTGGTAAGTTACCAGCTGGCAATTAAGTTGGCCCCGCACCAAAGCGCGCAGCAAAAGAGCTCACCACGTGTTGGGCGATGGGCCTCCCAACAGAACGCGTCCCTTGCAGACGCTGCTGCGGCAACGTGGGGGAACCACCGTTCTCCTGCTTGTAAAACATCTGGGATGTACGGAGCGATGGCTGGCGACAGAGCGATGCATCCTCCTTGCAGAAAAGTGTCTGATAAGAGACAGCCTGCCTGGTGGCTCTACACAAATCAAGTGTAATCGGGGCTTAAGCCGCGGAAAACCTGTGATTGAGTTGTAAGATTGGCACGAAAGCGCGAATAGCGAGGCCTATAGTGTTGTAGTACTGCGCATGTAAACAGTTATGATTTGCGCGGGAGGTCGCTTCGCATTAAAGCAGTGCATGTACAATTGGTCGCTGCGAATGCGTTAAGCTAATTAAATTCCTGTAAGTGACCTAAACTACCGCCTCAGCGTCATAAAGGAGCATCACATTAGTGGCCTTGGCGATACTGCGGCGCTGCCGATGAGAACACTTGCGTCTAGCTAGCGTAGCTTTACCTCTTTCAATAGGGCTTCCTCGTTGGAACGGCGTTGAGGCCGCCCAAGCAGGCGGCCAGCGCAGTGCAAGCGACTCGCTAAAATTAAAACGCAGCCCACGGCAGCTTTGGAGGCCCTAGCGGGGAGGCGCGAGTTGGGACATGTCGCCACCCTCCGCGGACCGGGCAAGTGAGGGGCGCGCTGGAGAGAATGATGAGCTCAATCGGCCTCAGGTGTGCAATCACTAGCTGCAAGCGTTTGACAATTTATGCGACAGGTCCTTAGCGAAATAGAAATTATGCACTTAACATTCCTATAGAGTTCGATAGTCTGTGGGGCCTAACCGATAAGTATTACGCAACCATGTGCCGCGCAATTCCTAGCTGCGCCTTTCATGCCGTCCTTTCCAACCCGAATGTCACTATACTTCCAAAACTGCCTATTGTTCAATCCTTGAAGTATGTCACGGTCTGTGCTACCGCGAGCGGCACCTGACGAAGCACATCACGCCATCAGCCGCTCCCACCAGGTTCTACGGTACCCCGTCACTTCTCGCTTTCGGCCACACGGACACGCACCCTCCCCTTCCTTGCACCTTACCAGGCTCGATACCGCTCTGGCAGTTCCCTCTCGCCACTGTCGTTTCAGCCGCAAGCGCAGCAGCATGCGCAACAGCCGCACAGAGCCATGGACTTTACAACAGCAGCTGAAGTAGCGAGGGCGGCTGGGGACCGACTGGAAGAGGCGTCAGCCCCTGGGGCTAAGCACCTAGCTGCCGTACCCGCAGCAGCTGCGGAAGATCGCGGGATGGCGTCGGGTTCGGCCTCGGTAGCAGCGACGGAGGCGGCGGCGGCCGTTCCAGGTGCTGTCGACGGCGGCAGTGTCGCCGCCGCCGCTCGGGTGGTCCCGGGCTCGCCGTCAGCGCAACGCCGGCCGCGTCGCAGCGACAACGGCGGCGGCGGCGAAGCGGCGGCAGCGGACGTTGGTGCCAGGGGAATAACGGATCCTGGAAAGAGACGTGCGTTACTGCTATCGACGTCGCTTTCTCCGTCCGAACAACACGACAGCAGCAGCAGCCCGGGGGCAGCATCCGCACCTCCGGGCAGCAGCTGCGGCGGCAGCAGCAGCAGCAGCCCGGCGGCGCCAGGCGCTCTGCTACCGCCGCCGCCGCCGCCCTTGTCGTACTCTTCAGCGGAGCCGCAGCCTCTTAGCCCGCTGACGTCACATGGCGCTCTCCCGTTTGCAGGTACGACAGCTGCTGTACGTGATGGCGGAGGGAGTGAAGCCGCCGCCGCCGCCGCTACGGCCGCCGTACCATCGCCAACGGCAGTGGCGGCGGCGGCGGCGGCGCATCATGACGCTGCCATGACGTCACCCCGCAACCAGCATGCCGCCTCTCCCACGCTTCGTCACCACCAGCACTCCCCGCCCCAGACTCCTGATGGGCCGCCAGCGCAAAGACGTTGCTCGGGTAGCGGTGATGGTGGCAGTGGCGGCGGCAACAGTGCTAGAGAAGGGCGCGTCGTGCCGTCGGCCGCCGCAGCTGCCGCTGCCGTCGGCTTGTCTAGCACGCCCTCTCGCCGTACTTCACTTGCGTCAGGGGGGCCAGCGACGTCGCCAATGGCGGTGACGACGCCGGCGAAACGGCGCTCGGGTGACGGCGGAATGTCCTCCGCCGGCGGCAACATCGGATGGGCGTTGCTGCAGCAGCAACAGCAGCAGCAACAACAACAAGCGGCCGCGGCGGCAGCCGCTGCAGCAGCTGTTGCCGCGGCAGGATTACCACTCCTGTCCATCCCAACCGCAACGGTGTCGTACACTCCTTGGGGCCCCGTGCTTCCTGTCGTACAAGTGCCGGCGGCAGCGGCGCTTGCCGCCGCCAGCGGCGGAGGCGCCGCCAACGCCGCCGGCGGCGGCGGCGCAGCTGTCGTTGCCGCCGCACTCCAAGCGGCCGCCGCCGCCGGCGGCCCCGCTGCTCTGGCGCTAGCCGGCGGACTCCCCTCCGCCGTCGCCGCCGCCACGCCTGCCGACGTGACAGCCCACGCCGCCGCGGCATTGCAACTCGTGGCAGCGGCCGCTGCGGCGGCGGCATCTCCGCCAACCCTCACAACCACCACCGCCGCCGCCACCCCCGCCGTTCCCGCCGCCCCCGCCTCTGCTGCTATCGCTACAGCCTCCAGCGGCGGCGACCCTGCAACTGCCTCTCAGCTGCGCCTGGCGGTGGTGTTGCGTGAGGGCGGCAAGATGTCTGAGGCGCTCATGCTTGTCGAGTCGCTGCTGCTACGGCAACCGAGCTGCTTGGAGGCGATGCACATGCGCGCGCAGTGCCAACAAGCGCTGGGGCAGGTGCAGGAGGTACGATGTGCACGGCGGCACCAACCACATGCGCCTTAAACCACATGTGCCGTACACACCCACTCGAACACACTCTGTCATCCGCGTGTCAAATACACGCATGCTTGCATGCATGCATGCATGTCAGCATGTGTTTTCCATGTCAGGACGTTACCCCTCCCTCACCCCTGCCCCCCTCCCTTCTCCCCTATCCTATCCCTACCGCACCCCACCGCACACCCCTCTACAGGCCATAGCCAGCTACCATCGCTGCCTGGCCCTAGCTTCCGACCACGTAGCCAGCTTGGTCGCCCTTGGCGCCTTGTACCAGTCACAGGGGCTGCTGGGGGAGGCGGTGGCGGCCTACCAACGGGCTTATGAGCTGCGGCCGGAGGATGCGGGGGTGCGGGAGGGGCTGGCGGTGGTGTTGACGGACCAGGGAACCAAACTCAAGAACGCGGGTGAGAGGGTCGGAGTTGCGGGATGCAGTTGGGGTGCAGTTGGGGTGCCTTGCATGGCAGAAGATGTACTTCTTATCCACTCTCTTACATCGTGTGTGCATCCCCGTGCATCCCCGTGCATGGTGCTGTGGTGTGTTTTGTACTTGCTGTGTCGCATGACGGGGGGCTGAGGACCCGGCCCTTTCCAGGCAAGAAACAACCAGCGTGAGCCGCCTTGAGCCAGTGTAAGTTAACAGATGCTTACCCCGGTTCACCCGCCTGTCTTGCCTGTCTTGCATGCATGTCATGTCATGTCCTGCAGGTGCCTCCCTGTCGGATGTGGTGTCTCGCTACCAAGCGGCGGCGGCGCTGTTCCCCCGCTGCGCGCCCGCGCTGTACAACCTGGGTGTGGTGGCGGGGGAGCTGCGGCAGGGGGCGGCTGCGGCGGAGTATTACCGAGCGGCCATTGCAGCGGAGCCGAGATACGCGCAGGTGGGGGGGAGGCGCGTGTGTTAAGGAAACTGGCCGCGAGTAGTGTGCGGGGTTGTCACTCCTGAGAGGGTCTGGGAAAGGCCACGTGCCCTTTCCCCCAACGTTGCGCATCCCCCTATGAACCCCCTCCCCCGAAGTCATGCGCCCCCCTACGTTGAGTAGCCATGTTACCCCCCCCCCCCCTGCCTGACTTGTGGTCTCCTATGGTTTGGTATGGTCTTTGACCCCCCCCCCCGCCATGTCTCCTGCAGGCTCATTGCAACCTGGGTGTACTGCTACGGGAGCAAGGGCGGCTAGCGGAGGCGGTGGCGGCCTACGAGGCGGCGCTGGCAGCGGCACCCAACTTTGCAATCGTGCGCAACAATATGGCCATCGCACTTACCGATCTGGGTGGGTATCGGTGTTGGGCCCTGGGGCTCTGTGCGAACACCTGTGTTGCCCGATTAGGCCATGCGGGCAGTACTGCTCCGTACTGCATCGAACCCTGCCCTGCCCGTTCCTGTAGCCCCCCCCGTGTGGGCCCTCGTCCCCGTCCTATCAACCAACAGCCCTCACTCACCGTACTGTCACCCGCTTGCACCCGCGCAGGCACGCATGTGAAGAACGAGGGGCGACTGGATGAGGGAATTGCGTTGTACGAACGAGCGCTGTCGTACTCGCCACGTCATGGGGATGCGTTGTACAACCTGGGAGTGGCGTACGGCGAAAAGGGAGATTTGCAGGTTGGTGGAGCCGATTTGCAATAACACGTTCATACCATGTGAATAGGAATCTGCTGATACGCATGCGCGCTTGATTACCTGCTCCGATACACCACCTCAAAACTCAACTCCACCTCAAACACCCACCTCACAATCCCACCTTTCCCCCTGTCTCTGTCCCCCCCTTCCCACCATCAAAGCGTGCCGCCTTCATGTACGAGATGGCTCTCGCCTTCAACCCGGGCTGCGCGGAGGCGCACAACAACCTGGGGGTCATTTGGAAGGAACAGGTGCGTGTGTTATAATAACTGGCCGCGAGGTGCATGTGTGTGTGTGTATGGGGGGGTCGGAATGAACTACTAGTACTGGGCTTGGGATGTCAGCTCAGGCGACTCGTGCCCACATGCTTTTACCTCTTCTATCCTCACCCCTTCCGCCTCCCCGCCCTCCCCTCCGCCCCTCCTACTTTCCTACTTCCTCCTTCCCGCTTTCATGTACTCCTCCTTCCTCCTTTGCATCCTTCCTTGCCCTACTTCCCCACGCCCCTCCTGTCCCTCCTCCTTCCCGCCCTTCCTTCCCCCCTCCCCCCCACCAGCCGCCATGGAGCTTACAATACGGTTTGTTATTGACTGATGCTACTAACTATACAACAACTACAATTATTTTCTATCCCAACTATCCAGCGTAATGCGGATTCTGTTTCCAAATTAATCCCCCCCACACCAGGACAACATCGAGCGGGCCGTGGAGAGCTACACGGCGGCCCTCTCGCTGCGACCCAACTTCCCACAGAGCCTCAACAACCTGGGGGTGGTCATGACGGCACAGGTGGGGGGGTGGTCATGACGGCACAGGTGGGGGGGCGGGTGGGGGGTGGTGGTGTTGCACTGTGAAGGGGTTGTTACTCGTACTTGTTCGTTATGGCGCATAGACGGTTAACCAGAGGAAATGCCTTCATGCCAGGGCATGGAAAGACGCGATCGTCAGGCCAACTTCCCTCAACACCAACACACCTCCCCACCCGCCATGCACCCCCCTCCCCCCCACTCCTCCCACTCCTCCAGGGACGAGCTGCCGAGGCGCTCACGCTGTTGTCGGCCGCCGTCACCGCCTTGCCCTCCTACACAGGTGGGGCTGTGGGGTGTCAAATCGTTCATTCATAAGGCCTGCTTTCCTCAGCTTCATTTACTCCTCCTCCTCCTCCATGCAACAACACTCGCAACGACCACCCCGCACCACCTCACATCCTCTCTCCCCTCCCTCCGCTTCAATTTCCAATTATTTTCCCGCTCCTCCCAGAGGCTCACAACAACCTGGGAGTGCTCCAACGCGATGTGGGCTGCATCCCCGACGCACTTGCATCCTACTCGCGATGCCTAGAGTTGGATCCGAACTGCAGGAACGCGGGGCAGAACCGACTGCTGGCACTCAACTACATTTACCAGGGTGGGTCAAAGACCGTACCATACCATAGGAAACCACAGGGGGGGAGGCGGAGGGGGGGAGGCGAGGTGGGTTATGGGTGGGGCAGGCAAACGAGGAAGTTAGCGAAAGGGAAATGGAGGGGTTTAGGGTTTCGCAACGACAGGGCTTGGTTTGTGCCTTATACCTCGCTTCGACACGCCCCTGCCTCCCTGCCCCTGCCCCTGCCTCCCTGCCCCTGCCAACCTGCCCCTGCCAACCTGCCAACGTGCTCCTCCCACCCTGCCTCCCTGCCCCCCCCCAGGCGAGGATGAGCTGGTGTGCGCGGCGCACCGGGAGTGGGGGCAGCGCTTCCAAGCAGCCATCAGCCCCCTGCCGCCGCTGGGGCCGGGAGACAGGAGGTGAGGGGATTGGGGGGAGCAGGGGGGGCTGCTAGCGGAGGGGGACAGAGCGAGTGGTTGCGGTGCGGGTGGGGGGAAGGAGGGAAGCGGCGGGGCTCGGAGGCCTGGGCCACATGAGGTACATGAGGGGGGCGCTCTGACCAGCCGTCCAACCAACTCTCCTAACATCCTCCAAACTCCGCTCGTCTTCTCTCGCCTCATTCTCCCTTCCTTGCTCTGCCTCCCAACCTCCCCACCACCTGCTCTTTGCTCCTTCAACCCGCAATCGCAACCCGCAGTTGGGACCCAGATCGCCCGCTGCGCATCGGCTACATCTCTCCCGACCTGTTCACCCACTCGGTGTCGTACTTTGCCGAGGCGCCGCTGACCCACCACTCGCCCGCCCGGGGGCTCAAACACATCGTGTACAGGTGGGGGCGCGGGAGTCAAGGTTGGTAAGGGTGAGAAGAAGTGTATTGAAAAAGGTTTGTCCCCGAGTCGGAACGTTTACCGTAGCTGCCGAAGGTATGTGCGTGGTGTATTTTTCACACATGGACAGGAGTGGTGGTGCTTGGTGTGGCATGGTTGACGTTTGCTGGGAACCGCACAACTTGAACATTCATCCCCTCTCATAACCCGCCCGCCCACCCGCCCTCCCGCCACCCCCCCTCTCGCCCTCTGCAGCTGTGTGCCCAAGCCCGACTCCAAGACCACCCGCCTGCGAGCTGCTACGCTGGCTGCGGGGGGCGAGTGGCGGGAGGCGGCGGGGCTGAGCGAGGAGGCGCTGGCGGGGCTGGTGCGGGCGGATGAGGTGGACTTGCTGGTGGAGCTGACAGGTGGGCGGGGAGACGAGGGGGAGGGTGGGGTAAAGTGGGGGGAAACGTGTGTGTTTTAGGGGCACGCGTGTGTGTTTTTCTGCTTGGAAGCAATTGACCATCCGGTCATGCTTTGCATTCTCCTCCCGTCAACTTCATACATTTACCTCGCTTCCCACTCCCTTGGTATTAGGATTGGGATTCCAGTTGTTTCACTTCTCATTCATCTTTCCCCCCCTCTCTCCTCCCCTCCAGGCCACACCGCGAACAACCGGCTAGGCTGCATGGCTCGTCGACCGGCTCCCGTACAAGTCACCTGGATCGGCTACCCCAACTCCACCGGTCTCGCGGCAGTGGACTACCGCATCACGGACGAGATCTGCGACCCATGGGACACTCGACAGGCCTTTGTGGAGCAGCTGGTACGACTGCCGCGGGGCTGCTTCCTGTGCTACACGCCCGCGGTGGATGCGCCGCCGGTGTCGCCGCTTCCGGCGCTGACCAACGGCTTCATCACGTTTGGGTCGTTCAACAACCTGGCCAAGATAACGCCGCAGGTGGGCGCTAGTGGGGGGGTGCGGGGGGAGGTGGTTGCTCCGAGTGGGGTCGCAAGAGTTGTCAGGACTCGTCTCGTGTGCTGAATTTGTGTCTGCGTGTATGTGTTGCTGGGTGCTCGGAGGTACATCGAAGATGAGACCTTCTTAACCTCTTCTTCCCCTGTCCCACCTTAACCTCCTGGCCCCCCCCCCAGGTACTCCGAGTGTGGGGCGCCATCCTCACCGCCGTCCCCCGCTCCCGACTGGTCCTCAAGAACAAGCCCTTTGCCTGCGAGGCCGCTCGCGCACACGTCATGCGGCAGCTGCAGGAGGTGGGAATCGAACCCTGGCGGGTCGACTTGCTGCCGCTGGCGCCCGGGAACGCGCAGCACCTGGCCACGTACGCCCTCATGGACATCTCCTTGGATCCATTTCCGTACGCAGGTGGGTGGAGGGGTACATGAAGAGTGAAGGGAGGGTGGGGGCGGGGTAGGCGGAGGCGTGTGGGGTTTGCCCTTGTGGTTGCGTGTGAGGGGTTCATGTGGAGATGGATGCGAAGTGTATTGCGGGGGAGTCCTTTTTCCGCTTGGTTGAAGAGAAAGGGGTTTGGAGTGCGGAGATATGAGAAACCTTCGTTTCACACACACACCCTTTACCCCAAAGGCAACTCCCGGCATGTGGCCTTGCGCCCACTCCCTCGTCCGCTCCCTCGCTTTCCTCATCTGCCAGGCACCACCACCACCACCGAATCCCTGTTCATGGGGGTTCCCTGCCTCACCCTGGCGGGTCGCTGTCACGCGCACAACGTGGGCGTCAGCTTGCTTACCGCAGTGGGACTGCACCCGCCGCCACCACCATCAGCAACAACAACAGCCTCCTCGGCGGCAGCAGTAGCGGCAGCAGCAGCCTCGGCACCGGTACCACCGGCCTTCTGCTCGGGACAGAACCTCGCATGCAGCAACCGCGACACCAACGGCTACTGCAGCAACATGTGCTGCGAGGAGGACACGTGTGGGGGCAACATGGGCAGCATCAACAGCGGAAACAACAGCTGCCAAGAGCTACAGCACTCGGGCGTTTGCCACTCGCCTCGTTGCAACGGCTCTAACTGCAATGCATCCTGTAACGGCAGCGGCGGCTATAGCAGCAGCTCTGGCAGTGCTGCTGCTACTGCTGCTGGCGTTGGGGGCAATGGCGCTGCTGCCACCACCCTCGCCGGCAGCCACACCGCTCACGCCAACAGCACCAAGCAGTTCGGCTGCAACAGACCCACGGGTCACCAGCGCAGCTGGGTAGCCTTCAGCGAGGAGGAGTATGTGGCTCTAGCGGTGGCTCATGCATCCGATGTGCAGGTGCGACAGGAGGGGGTGTGGTGGTAGTGGCGATAAACCTTGTTGGAATGTCGGGGACGTGTCTTAACTAGGCTAGGCAACTCATGTCCCACACGTTTACTACGTGGAGAGGGAGGAAGGAGACACATAATGAGATGTGTTTTTGTGTGTACATGCCCACACAAAACCACATGCCTAGGCATGTATCCACCTCAAACGTTCGCCCTTTTGTTGGAAGAACTAATAGCTTGTACATCTCCTTCTGCTGCTGCTCTCGCTTTCACATGACCGCCGCCCCGCACCACCACCAACCATCCTTCCTCCTTCCTCCTTGCGCGCTCCCCCCAACACGCACAGGCTCTGGCGGAGCTCCGGTCCACGTTGCGGGAGCGCATGTTGCACAGCCCCATGTGTGATGGACCCGCCTTTGTGGCTGGGCTGGAGGGGGTGTATCGGGGGCTGTGGAGGAGGTGAGAGCGGGGGCTGGGGGGCTGTGGAGATGGGGAGATGCACAATCAACAGGGACAACAGCATGAGTCATCATGGGTCTTTCCTGGAACAGATGGTATCCGTTCCAATACCGTAAGTAACAGCAAAAGAAGCGGAAATTCCCCCACATCAATGCAATCCTTGAAGCCCCAACCATGGCATGACTGCTTCGCCCAACCCTCCCTTCCCCACCCCAACTATCCAGCGTAATGCGGATTCGGTTTCCAAATTAATCCCCACCCCCACGGCTCCCCAGGCACTGCGCGCAGCGGGCGGGGGATGCTGCGGCTGCTGAGGCGGTTGAGGTGGCCGCAGGACTTAGACCCGCGACCCGCTAGGGCACCTGGGTAGCTAGGGGAGCAGTGGCTGTCTAGCGAGGGCCGCGGTGGCTAGATAGTAGATAACTAGGGAAGCAGTGCGCAGGGGCCCAGACAACCGGTGCGCTGCTGCTATTGGGAGGATTGGGGGTAAGGGGTAAGGGAGGGATGTACAACACCGTTTGTGTGGGAAAGACAAGACGATCAGCAGGAAGGGTATTGTAGTGGGGGGACGTAGGGTCGGATCTGCTCCAAAAGGTGGATTGCAAATGGTTGCTTGTTTGCATACACAGACGGTAGGTCGTTGGCGGGCGGTTGTGGTAGTTGTTGGCTGTGCTACCTGGGTTACGTGAGGGGCACATGGGGAGCATGGGAGGGTGAGATGCCACTTGCCATGAGTAGCGGTGTAGTCTTTGCCGTGTCTCCCCTTCATCTGTATGATGCCGCTGCTGCTGATGACCATGAATGATTATGTGGAGAAGCGAGAATCTAGCGGATCACACATGAATGTTAATATGGAGCAGCGAATCCACAGTGGACTCACTTCTCCACATAAGCGGATGTCCTCAGGGCTTGTAGGGAAGCGGGTGATGATGCGTTTGTGCCCTGGTGATGTGCGGTCTGGGCTGGTTTTGTTTTTTTCATTACGACTGGCCGTTGAGGGTCCTCGCGGGTCCTTGCTGGTCTTTGCGGATTGGATTTGGATAAGCAAACTGAATTAAGCAGCCGGAAGCAGCTTGGTCGTTGGTATAATGGTGTGTGACTGGGTAGCGCGGAGTGTTGTTGTGCTGGTGCACTACCGTGTTTCACTGTTCCACAGGGTCGCGTGCGTTGTGCTGCGTGTGCTGCGTGTGCTGCGTGTGCTGCGTGTGCTGCGTGTGCTGCGTGTGCTGCGTGTGCTGCGTGTGCTGCGTGTGCTGCGTGTGCTGCGTTGTGCTGCGTGCTTGTGTCTGGTCTCCTCAGGTCTCCTGGGTTGTGTTTATATCCGCGGCTAAGGAACCATATTAACTGGTTTGCGAAGCGTTGGCGTGCTGGTCGTTGGCCCTACGGATAGTAGGGGCTTTCCCTTTAAGTCCAGTGCGATGGTCTCAACGACCCATGGGTCACGGCGGGTCCTTAAGTTGTATTCCGCGGACAGGTCAATCTGGCCTACCTCTTTGCGGACTTTGTGCAAATCTTTCTACCTACGGTAGTTACAAGGGGTGCCCCCATTTGTGCGTTTTGCCAGCTTGCTTGTGAAGTGCTTGACGTGGATGCGTGTGTGTTAAAATAACTGGCGTGTGTGTGTGTGTTTGGGGGAGGGGAGTCGCACCGCACGTTACAGTGTTAAGGAAGCTGGCCGCCAGTAGGAACGTACTGTGATTGTCGGTTCAGTGTGCGCAGCTTGGTTGCTATGGCTGCATTGAGGCTTTGAAGGGCGGCTGTCATTCTGCGCGCGTTAAATTTGATATAGCTTGTCCGTATCTCGTGGTTTGGGACCACGATTTCGGTGTGTGCGCTTGCATGCATGCATGTATGGATGATGAGAATGCATTAGGTAATCGCATTTGTCGCTTGCTTGTGCATGGAGGTTGCGGTCTTGCGAAGTGACGGTGGGGCGCTGCTGCCAAAGACATCGACTCTTCTGGCGAAGAGTTGGAAGTTACTGTGGTGCCTTCGGTCCCACACCATTGTGGTTGCACGCAATCGTGCATTGTGTGCGCTTTAGGCCTTTTGCGGGTTGTGTTCTTGAAAGTATAGAATGTACGTCGTTTTACTAGACAGAAAGCATTTTGATGGCCGTGTTACGGTTTGCAGGAATGGCTAGCGATAGGAGTACAGCGTTTAAGAAGAGAGACGGCGTTTGTTTGAGCGATGCAGGGGCCGCTGGTTTATGGAAACACGGCTAGATGTGGACCCCGGAGCCACGTTGCCGTTTGTCGTTGTCAAATGGTGGTTGGTGCTGAGGACGGGGAGGCATATGTGGCGAGTTGGTTATTTGATGTAAAGAGGAGAACTGCAGCGGAAGGCGGGATGTGGGGAGCTGGGTTGGTCATGCAGGGCGGTGCCGGTCTGTTCGAGATGCTGGTACGAAATGCGGAATCCAACAGGGTGTAAATGACTCTCATTGGCATTATCCGTACGACAAGCGTGGACGTACGACGGTTGGCACCTGGGGACTTTTGGGGGGGTGAAGACAGGAAACTGGCGAGCTGTCAGTCCTGTTTGGGACTTTTGGGGGTGAGGTAGGGTCAAGGAGAGGCGTGTGCAGGTGCAGGATGAGGTAAAGGGAAAGTATGATTTCTCGGGGCATGAGGACCGTGCCTACGTGCGCGAAATGGAGGGTATGAGAAGTTGCGTATTTGGGTTGAAGGGATTTGGGTTTACGGGATTTTAGTACGGGCGAGCAGCTGCCGTACGGTCTAGGGACGTTGCGGCGTCCGGATTCGACATGTCCTCTGCTGTTTCTGCCGCTTTCACTGACTGCTCTGCGGTTTCCCCAATTTTGAACAAGTGTTTTGGATGATTCCAGTTGGTAATGGTGGATGGTGGGCTGTTGTTACTTGGACATGACTGTTGCTATGTCAAGTTGGCACGATTCCCACGTTGCTGTGGGTAACGTGGGGCAATATTGTTGTTGGCTTGGGGTCTGTTGACGGTATAGTCGATTCGGGTCCAGGGCGAGTGGGAGGACAAGAACAAGAGGGAGTGTTGCCCAGCTGACGTTGAACGCGTGCGTGATGAGGCGAACAGGCAGGGTCATGCACTTTGCAGATTCCACGGTCTCCTTAGCTTAGCATTTCCCGTGGTCCCTTGAGTTTCTTGGCACGCGCCGAGCTCAGACCCGCCGACCTCGCTCGCACCCGCCGACCTCGCTCGCACCCGCCGACCTCGCTCGCACCCGCCGACCTCGCTCGCACCCGCCGACCTCGCTCGCACCCGCCGACCTCGCTCGCACCCGCCGACCTCGCTCGCACCCGCCGACCTCGCTCGCACCCGCCGACCTCGCTCGCACCCGCCGACCTAGCAAGCACCCGCCGACCTAGCAAGCACCCGCCGACCTAGCAAGCACCCGCCGACCTAGCAAGCACCCGCCGACCTAGCAAGCACCCGCCGACCTAGCAAGCACCCGCCGACCTAGCTAGCACCCGCCGACCTAGCAAGCACCCGCCGACCTCGCTCGCACCCGCCGACCTCGCTCGCACCCGCCGACCTCGCTCGCACCCGCCGACCTCGCTCGCACCCGCCGACCTAGCAAGCACCCGCCGACCTCGCTCGCACCCGCCGACCTAGCAAGCACCCGCCGACCTAGCAAGCACCCGCCGACCTAGCAAGCACCCACCGACCTAGCAAGCACCCGCCGACCTAGCAAGCACCCGCCGACCTAGCAAGCACCCGCCGACCTAGCAAGCACCCGCCGACCTAGCACCCGCCGACCTAAGCACCCGCCGACCTAAGCACCCGCCGACCTAAGCACCCGCCGACCTAAGCACCCGCCGACCTAGCACCCACCGACCTAAGCACCCGCCGACCTAAGCACCCGCCGACCTGGCACCCGCCGACCTAAGCACCCGCCGACCTGGCACCCGCCGACCTAAGCACCCGCCGACCTGGCACCCGCCGACCTGGCACCCGCCGACCTAGCACCCGCCGACCTAGCAAGCACCCGCCGACCTAGCAAGCACCCGCCGACCTAGCAAGCACCCGCCGACCTGGCACCCGCCGACCTAGCACCCACCGACCTAGCACCCGCCGACCTAAGCACCCGCCGACCTGGCACCCGCCGACCTAAGCACCCGCCGACCTGGCACCCGCCGACCTGGCACCCGCCGACCTGGCACCCGCCGACCTAGCACCCGCTGACCTAGCACCCGCCGACCTAGCACCCGCCGACCTAGCACCCGCCGACCTGGCACCCACCGACCTGGCCCCCGCCGACCTGGCCCCC